AAATAAGTCCAACATGCCAGCATCTAGCTCCTAGTCATGGTATGATAATTCAGAATGGCCCAAACAAGGAGAAAAACAGCATCTCTATACCTCAACCAATTATAACTTCTTACAGTTATTTAAGTAAAAACAATTTTATGATTCTATTTCTTACACAGGACAAAAACAAAAAGTATACAAGGAAAACATTTTCTAGGTGAGGACTCTCAATCTTCCCAATTATCAGTATCTAAAGTGATTGGATACAGATCAGAAGTTGATTTTGAGGAAGAAGTCCAAGGCATATCCACTGAAATACTCGAGTTAGTAACATGGTCTTGACTCGTTATTTCCGTTGGCTTCATCTTGTAAATTGAGACATTTGAGTCTGAAACGAACTCTCCAACATGTGCTCTTCCTTCTAGTATGCTTACCACTACTGACATACTTGGTCTTTCGGCTGCTATAGCATTGGTACAACAGAGCGCCAAATTGATAGTCGTGATCACCTCTTCTTCATTGAAGTTTGATTCTAGTCTTGGATCGACCAGTTCTATTAATTTTCCTTCAGCCTTCAAGGAATTAGCCTAAAATAAAAGGGAAAGGAAGAAAGAGCTGGTCACTTGATACGAAAAAACATAGAGCTTACTGTAACTTCATAAATAAATACCAATAAAATAGAATAAATCTTCATTATGGGTGTAAAATTATTGTAATATGTTACCCAGTCGAGAAGATAGAAGCTGTCCTCCTTTGGCTTAATACTAGTGTTGCTCCTACCACTGACAATTTCTAAAATAACAACTCCAAAGCTATATACATCTGCTTTGTCGGTCATATAGCCTCGCATAGCATATTCAGGTGCCATATATCCACTGAAAATCACATATATTCGCATCATGTCATATTCAACGAAATAATTTTTGAAATAACTATTTTTTATTCAAAAGTTCCCAAATCAATATTCTAGGAGAATAATACAATGACAAACTAAGCCTTATCCCAAAAAAACATGGAATTGGCTACATGAATCCTTTTTCACCGTACAATTCCAATGTTATATATAGGAATATCAATAGTCATTCTCTTTTAGACATGACTAAATCAACATAATCGTCATCAAGTTAC